GCGGTGCGGGGGAAGGCAGCGCTGGGTGGGCTGGTCAGAGGTGCGGTGCAAGTAGGGCACGCGTGGGTGGCGATAGAGAGGGGCGTGGGGAGGGGCTGCGCTGCTGGGAAGGGAAGGGAAGGGAAGGGAAGGGAACGCACGTTTTCCGCCAAAGTGCACGCAGGCTGTGACTGACGGCAGCCGGGGCTGCACGCCGGGTGCTCGCCGTGCCTCTCGCTTTGTCTCTCCTGACCCAACCCGTCCGACCGACGGAGGATCCGGCACCCGTTGGGGTCCTGTTCTTACACCTGCGTTTCCGAAGCCCCGTGCTGGAGGCACAGCCAGAAAGAAGGGGGGTGTGGGAATGCAGGCACTTGGTAAAACCGCTTTGCAAGAGTAATCGTGTGAATGCCTCAGCTACTGCTGAACGTCGGGCTGAACAGGTTCCTCTGCTCAGCCAGGCCGTGAGCCGGTGCCTACGCAGGGGTTTCGCCAGGGCAGCCCACCGCCTCTCTCTGGAATAAGCACATTCAGTGCTTTTTGGCATTTGCTGGTAGCCCGTGGTACCGGTTTCATCATTGCGGTGTCCAATCCTGGACAAACAAATGATGAATGAGAGATGCTGCTGGTTCTCTCCTCCTATCAGCGACTTCAGTCTTGATGTTATTTCGGCCTTGGGTAAGACCCTGCCAAGATTAATGTTTGAAGCAATTTTTTCCTGCCAAGTGACTGAGAGTGGGTGTGGTGCGTCTGTGCTGCTCGGAAAGACTCCTGCTCGGAGCCTGCAAGATTTAATTTCACCATGGGGGAAACCACTGCTGCCTCTGGCTGGGTTCTGGATGCAGCTCAGGAATGACATGAGGGCCCGTCCTCACTCCCACGGCTCCCGGGACGGGGCTGGAGCGGCTGCACAGCACCGCAGTGTGGGAGGGAGGCAGGGTGTCTCACGCACGGGTGGCAAGACAAACACCAGTTGAGCCCTGGAGTGGGAGGCCAGCGTGACACACCCCTGTCCCCAGGGAGTCAGGCAGAGAATTTGAGACTTACTAAGCTTCTGGTAACTGTTTTCTGTGGAGACTTTCCCCACTGGCACCGCCAGGTGTGACACACTCTCCCCAACGAGACGGGCAGGAGCATCATGTCCGTGTCCTCCAGCCCCCCTCTGCGGTGGCTGTTGCAGGCCTGTACTCCAGGCTGGTGACAGTGTCATACAGGCCACTGCGGACCTTGTCTCTGGACCACTCTCGTCAGAGACCACCCCAGGGTGCTTCCCTTTAGCGTTGTTGATGTGTGCTTTAGTCACAGGTTGGGAATACCAGGGAGAAAATGAACGTGCGATGATTATTTCTGGCAGGCGGAAGAGGCGTGATGTCTGCCGTTAGAAGCTTGTTGCAAAACAAGCGGGCAGTCGGGAGCAGGGAGGCGGAATGGCTGTGTCCCATCTGAGGCCTCACAACGCCTCGGAAATGTCTCTTTTTTTCCTGTCTGCCGTGTCTCTGATCCGTACGCGTCCCGCTGCCCTGCGCAGGTGAGCAGCACCTGTTGGCCATATCCCTGGGGATCGCGCTCCGGTGACGGTGATGCTCTGTCCCCGAGCAGGGCTGCCGTCTGACACTCCCCACCGTGGGCGCCACCGGGCACCTCCCGCCCTTGCAGTTACAACACCCCCGCGAGAGGTTTCTCAGCCTGCCCCAGCGCTGGGGAAGGAACGCCCGGGTCTGCCCCGCTGCCAGGGCCCGTC